ATAGAGACAGTAGGCAAAGTCGGAGAGAAGCCATGTAGCCACCTCCAGAGACAGATGCCCCAGAACTTAGCCTGTAGGACACAAGTCTCACGGTAAATATAAAATAATAGAAATGGGTTAATTTAAGATATAAGAGCTACCTAGCAATACGCTTAAGCTATTGGCCAAACAGTATTGCAAATAATATAGTTTCTGAGTGATTATTTTGTGATCTGGGCAGCTGGGAATGAACTAACAGCTTTCCTCAACAGTTACCCTCCTACATCTTGGGGCCACTGAAAGTGGTCTCTGCCTTTTCTCTAGATGCTAACTTTTCTTTTTATTTAAGACATAAGCCTTACCTTGGAAAGACAGTGTCAAAGTGGGCTAATACTTTTTGTTATCCATTACCAACATACTCCCATGTACCCCTGCTCTGAGTTTTCTACCTTGCTTTTTTGTAGAAGCCACAAACACACCCAACCTTTATTCATGCCTCTTCCTGTCAGAACATTGGACAGCTCCCTGCCTGTTATGCAGGCTACTGCTGAGGAACCAGCCTGGAATTAGAATATTTGATATTCCCTCAAAGTGCATTTTTTTCAAACTACATAATCCTAAGGAAAAAGAAACCAAACTGAAAGTGGTTTTGAAATTCCTGTTTTTATCATCCCAATCTTTATTATTTATGCATGAGATTGGTAAAGAACTTTATAATGATTTTTTTGATATGTATTTGATATACTTAATGCTTACAGACTGTCACTTGCATGACAGAAATGAAGGGAAACCATGGAAAGATAACATGTTATAGAAAATGGGAAACAATTTATATTTCTAAAATTAAATTGTATAGGATTTATTTCCACTTTAGATAATTGTAAAGACTATTACCTGCTTTAACTCCTGTCTGTCTCTGAGAGTTTGACATAAAGGGAAAATACTAAGCCAAATGGTAAACATGTATGAATAATCTCTAACACTTTTTATTAAGGAAATCTGAGGAAGAGGTTTTGTTGTGTTGTTAATTTGGTTTTATTGAGACAGATTCTTGTTGTAACCTTTCCTGGCTGTATATTTTTGCTGTCTAGACCAGGCCCTACCTCCAGTTTTGGTAGTTTGTTACCTGTGCTTTCTGATGGCTGAACTTCAGTCCACCACTGTGCCTTTAGAAAGCGCTCTAAAGGAATTAGTGCATTTGTGCTCACCAGGTAAATAAAGGACATGCTAAAGGGAAGGCTATCCACACCCCTCCCTGGTGTGTCTGCTTCTTATCTTGAGGCACCATGCTTCACCTACTCATGGCATTCTGTTGGATAGCTTAGCTTAGTGGTTGGCATGGCCTTGTGTGCTGCCAAGGTTGTGGGCCCATGGTGCCTGTAGAAGGTAGAGAGTTCCTCTTTATTTTTCAGTTATTAATGTATTGGATCACTTTATGTTACTGTTCCATGTGTGGAGGGCAAACATTAACCCTATAGTTGTTTAGGTTATGATCCTTAAGTGACAATGATATTAATTGTTAGGGTCTAATAGAAATGTGTAGTTAGGTCATAATTTCATAAAATGATAAGTGTGCAGATCAGAAAGTATCTGCATCCCATTGCTGAAACTCTTAGACCAATATAGAATTGAAGGCTATACCATATTGGCTGTATTTAGTAAATAACGCAAAGAGCATCTGGATCTATCTCCAACAGCATTTATCAGAACCATACTCTCTAAGTGATTCAGAAGTTGTCATTTCATTTCAGCCACAATGTCAAATAAAAAGCAATGTGGTCCATCGAGATGACCTGTATTTTCTAAAATTTGATTCTTTTGTTCTGTTAAACCATTAAATAAAGTAAACCTAATTTTCCTTAGATAATCATTATCTGTTTATCTTGAAGAGTGATTTCAGTTTTGAATTGGAGAAAGAAAAGCAGTGTATTCTTGGCATTGTCTATAGAAGACAGTGTTGGGAAATAGGAAGCAGGTTACTTTAATGTCTAATGTGTGTTTTAAAGACGAGTGATGATGTGGGAGTTCCCATGAAGAACCCCAGTAAACATTTTATTGCCTTTATTATATCAAAGTAAATTGATTAAAGTATAACCATGCTTATAACTCTGTCATTCTTAAATTTTGACTCTATGTTTCCCCCCTGCATACCTGAACATTTATATTGTGCTGATATAACCCTCGGCTTTTCCACATAAAGAGGTGTTAGCTAGCCTACAGTTATTAGCCTGTGGTAGAGCAATTGTTTACATGTGTTAGATTCCTGCATTTATGAGTCGTGTCACTTGAGTAGACATGTATTAAGCTTTGTTCTGTGTTTTTGGGAGAGTTCTTTTTAAGCATCAATGCCCCCTCCACACACATGAAGATAACATAGTTTTAAGGCATGTCTATGTTTTAAACACTTACTGATATGACAGCTTTCACAGTCCCAAACCCGAAACCCAGGGCCCGACTAGGGGTAGGGTGCTCTCTTCTCTGAGTACTGGAGAGGGATGCAGGAGTCACACAATTCTAAAACACAAGCCTGAGCAGTTGCAGGAAGGCAGTAGAATTCATAATTACTGATTTACTGTCAAGTGCATACCAGGCACCTATAGGACAAAGCAAAACCTTTTACTTTGTAAATGTTGGCATTATTGGTAATGTTTTTGAAGTAGAAATAAGAGTTTAGGTTCTCTGCCTTATCTTTAATCAGATAATTTTGTACCAAATATATTAATTTCCTAGCAAGATAGTTGAAAAAGGTACCATTTGAAGATGGCCTGATCAATTAATGGAAAAGGTACACCCATAGGTCAAAACTCTTATTTTCTCCCATATTTCTTTATTTTGGATATGTCTTGATAGCATATTATAAGTTATAATAAAGATCCTCTGAAAGTTGCTGTTTTAGGGAGAAATTCTAACAGTTGACACAATGTGAGCTGTTTCTGCCCTGTGCAGACATTGGGGCCATTTACTGCAGCATGTCACTGTCAGATTCACATCTTTGGGCTCCTATGATCTTCCAGCAAGTCTCCCACAATCACAGTATGGACAGAAGCTGTTCATTAGGGTAATGTTGTACTGAGGCTGCTTGTTTGTTTCCTGGCTGCTTGGCAGCTCAGATCCAAAATAATCACACGGAAACTATATTATTTAAATCACTGCTTGGCCCATTAGCTCTAGCTTCTTATATCTTAATTCATCCCATTTCTATTAATCTGTATATCGCCATGACCCTGTGGCTCACCGAGAAAGGTTCTGTCATCTATCTCCAGCCGGGCTACATGGCTTCTCTCCTAGCTATGCCTTCTTCCTCCCAGCATTCAGTTTAGTTTTTCTCGCCTTGCTAAGTTCTGCCTGGCTATAGGTCCAAAGCATTTTCTTTAATCATTAATGGTATTTACAGCATACAGAGGGGGAATCCCACATCACCTTTCTTTTTCTGTTTAAAGAAAAAGGAATGTTTTAACTTTAACATAGTAAAATTACTTGAAACAGTTATCAAGCAAGAATTGCAGTTACAGTATTTATATCTATTTTATCTTTTATCATAACTAAGGAAAACTATAATTATCAATTCTTTAACTCCATCAAAAACTCCAGAAGGATATAATATTACCTAAGTAAACAATAAGTTCATTATAAGCAACTTTCAAAACTCTAGAGTTGACAGAAACATCTCACTACCTGGACATTCACCCAAAGTTCTTCTGTACCAGTGGGGCATCCTTCTTCAACCTAAAGACCCATGGTATCCAGCAGACTTTTTCATGAAGCAGGATATCTTAAAGACAGTTCCACCTATATTGGCAGTTCTTTTGTGTCTAGGATTACTTTTTCAGCTTTTACATGGATTTAGTCTACCATGTTGGTGAACCAATTTGTTGGAAAGGCTGCTTGTTTGTTTCCCAGCCACCTGACTCAGCCCAAAAATAACCACACAGAAACTATATTAATTAAACCACTGCTTGGCCCATTAGCTCTAGCTTTTTATTTGCTAACTCTTACATCTTAATTTAACTCATCTCCATTAATCTGTGCATCACTATGAGGTCGTGGCCTACCAGCAAAGTTTCAGTGCATCTGTCTCTGGCAACGGCTCCATGGCTTCTCTCTGACTCTGCCTGCTTTCTCCCAGCATTCAGCCTAGTTTTCCCCACCTAGCTAAGTTCTGCCCTGCTATAAGTTCAAAGCAGTTTTTTATTCATTAATAGTATTCATAGCATTCAGAGGAGAAACCCACAGCAGGGTGACATTCTCAGCTTTATATTTTATCTCTGAACATCAGCATGTAACATGTACATGTAAAACTAAACTGAATGTCTTACTACATATTGTGACCATCAGCATGAAACTTGTACATGTAAAACTAGACTGTATGTGCTGCTACATATCATAGTATTGCTATTTGGGCACATTTGGTGTTCACATGTATATTAGCAAGAAACAACTTGTATTTAAGTTCTGATTAATGAAAAATATCTCACATTGTATTTGAAAAGGGAGCTTCAAGAGGTGACCTCTTCTTCCTGTGTGTGTTATTACTAATAGTCACAGAAGCATTTTTTGCTGTTCATGAGCATATTTATCTTTTAAAGAATAGCCCTTGTCTTTGACAGATATTAGGAGAGGAAATTCTACCATACTTACAAAATTGTTTATTCATGGTTATGTCTGTGCTAATATTAATTTTTAACCTTTCCAGGAAAAGTGAATCTCAGATTAGGAAGCGTTGCTTGTACCATGCGTTTAAAAAAATATTTTATCCTATTCTCTACAAATAATCAGCATACCATAAGTGCACTTATGAAAATTTAAAATTATTTATTATAAGTGTAAGCACTGAAGTGTTTATGCATAGATCAATCAAACTGTAATTTCAGGGTTTTGTGTTCCCCTTGAAACTTACATTTGTAGTTCGTTGGGTCTAGAAGATGGGCATGTTTCTTTCCTCACACTGCAGATCCCTAAAATGTGAATAGAACATTGCTAATCTTCCAGTGTTGTTTTGTTTTGTTTTTCTCCCTGAACAGGAAGACAGTGACCCTCCCATTCATGAAAGTCTCAGTATAGAAAACACATTGTGGGCAAGCACCATTGTTGCATCAGGTAAGGGGGAAGTTTGCATCGATCTCACAGACAGGATGTTAGTGTTGTCCAGGCATTCTAAAACAGCTTTCCTAAACTTCCCTGTGGGATTTAAGGACTGGAAGCTGAGGAACCAGGAGATAGAGTTGGGAGTCTGTGGAGAGGCCTGGGTTACAATTCCCTCATGGCAGAACAAGGCCAGAAGCATGAGTGTGGTCTACCCATTGTTGTAGAGCAAGGGCCATTTCTCTATGTTGGGCATGTGTTACTTGATGCTCACCAGTGTGCTTTGATGAGGGCTGGGAGACTATTAATAACTTTTGATGGTTCTTACTTTTTGTCCAGTTGACAAAACCTTGAAGAGACTGATTGGGTAATGTAGGAGAGTGAAGGGTTAGATGAAGCCATTCAGGTCAGAAGAGATAGGACTAGCCAGGGCTTTGGAAGCAGGGAAGGTCTGAATGTTGTTTGGGAGAAATTGGAAGACTGTGAACTACTGGTGGTTAAAGAGGAGGTTACTTAAGTTGACAGTTTTGCAAATAAATTTCGGTGGATATGTTGGAAATGCAAAGTTTTACCACCTTGTCAGAAGTAGGTTGACATCAATGATGATGATATTAGGAGGGAATCTCAGAAGTAGTTAATTGACCTTAAGGAAGGTACCAGGCATGAAGCTCGGTGTCAGGGAGCACAAGGAAAAGGATACTAGAGAAGATAGGAGCCTAGGGACACTAAAGGGCACTTAGCAGTTTTGAATAAGATGTCAGTTCATCTTCCATAGTGCTGGAATGATGTGCTAATGGAACCTGTCAATAGACAGCTTTAGTGGGTAGGAAAGGCATGAAGAAAACAGTCCAGTTAATTTTAGCTACACCAAATACCACAAAAAGTACCATGTCTTATGAAAGTATGTGAGCCAAGAGTCTTACAAACATGGTCTAAGAAAGACTTCTCTGAAGAAGAGGCGTTTAAGATTGATTATCAGGTGTGACAGGTGTGGTGGACGACAGGACAACTGTGGGAGTGTTTCTGTCAAAAGACAGGTCGGAGAAGGCCTGTGCTTGAAAGGACACAGTGCCCTGAAGAAGGCTGAGGTCCCTGAACCTAGCTCCAGGTGTGTGTGTGTAGGGGGAGAGAGGGCTATCAGACAGGAAGGCAGTTCTGTGATCCTTTCTTTAAATGGGTCCTGTTTACACCACAGCCCTAGAGAACTACAGATATTCACATTTGGGGCTAAAATATGAAAATTTTATTATACTATTTCATATTTTACAAACAAACATGGAGGCAAATTTTGAGAATCTTGAAAGTTTACTTTTATGAATTGTTTGATGCTTTGATACCAACAAATATTTGTAAAATTGTAGATAGAGAAGCAGAGATATCTCAGAGTGGAAATGCCAGGTCCTCAGCTCTGAAGACCACAGAGCTTTGGAAGCCCTCATCCCCTCTCCGACTTTTGCAACCCCTGCAGTCTGATGAGCCCTGTCCCTGTTCAGTGAGGTGATGCCAGTATTGGTTGTGCTCCTTTGAGTGAAGGATACAACAGAATGCCCCTGTGTGTCAGGCCAGAGCTGTCCAGCATTCACACCAGACTAGAGTACATGTGTTGTCACTGAGCTCAGCATCTGTTTATAAGAGAGCATCTGCATTATGGGACATCTAAGCACCTTTGCACAGAATTTAAATTTTTCTGTCAATAATCATACTTTTTATGGTGTTAAATTGATAGTCATTAAGGGATTAAATATTTCACATTTTGTTCTTTATTTCTGTTTTAAATATGTATTAGACTGTTGACACCAAATCCTAGTATAATATTGATTTGTGGCCTTTCTTCTCGGAGACAGAAGCAACTTGAGCTTAAGGCTTCTGAGACGTCCTGTAGGATTTCCTGGACATAGTTTTTCTGTTTGACTTTGATTTTCAGAATGACCTTGGTGTGCAGTAGCTGCTTCTTGGATACTTTTGCAACAGACATTAACATAGGCATCATCATATCTGTTACCTCTCAGCCCTTTCATATTTATTGTCCCTTGTAGTACTGGGTTTGATGGGGTTGACTTTAGAACATCTTAGAGGGTGTTTTAGAGCATTGGTCTCAACCTTCCTACTGCTGTTATACTTTAAAACAGTTCCTCCTATCTTTAAAAACAGGGCCTTAGGAATGTTGCAAATCTAAGACTACCGGAAATAACCTGAGCATTATCTCTCTGTAAGTGATCACAAGTTTAGAATTCTTTTGACTGAATTTAGGATGGCACCTTTTCAAAATTAGATTATACTTATATCACTTCCCCTTCCCACTCTAAAGCCTTGCATATATATTCCCCTTTCCCTTTCAGATTCATGTTCTTTCTTTAACTGTTGTTGCACATATACACATACATGTGTGTGTGTGTGTGTGTGTGTATTTCTAAGAATTAATACAATTTGTAATTATATCTATTCTTAGTCTGACCATTTGGTGTTGGATACCTAATTGGTGTGCTCTTTCCCGAGGCTGACTTATTTCTTCCACTCTCAGCATTCCTTAATTTCCTGTAGTTCTTTGTCTAGGGTTTAGGCCTTGTGAACCTTCCCAGTACCATGTCTGTTGTTGTGTTATCCTTGTTCATGTTGGTGAGACTTCATGGAACTTTTTTTACGCTGTGCTGTCTTTTCTGTATCTCATGGCCTGGCACATAGTAGTCAAGCATTGTGCCACTGCACTGCACCCCTAACCCCAGTGTAACTCAGAATGGAGTTATTTCTGGCCTTCTTCTCTGTCATAGAGTTTTAAAAGTTTGGGATTAGCAACTCAAGTTACACAAAGCAGTAAGGTGCCAGGTGACCAAAGAGAGACCACTCCATGTTGCTCTGTGCATCAGTGTCCCTATTGACTCAGAGAACATTATTCCTTTAGATCACTGGCTGTCAACCTTTCTAATGCTGTGACCGTGTAATATAGTTCCTCATGTTGTAGTGACCCCCAACAAAAAACTATTTCATTGCTACTTCATAACTATAATTTTGCTCCAGTTTTGATGTGTAATGCAAATATCTGTTTTCTGATGGTCTTTGGTGTCCCCTGTGGAAGGGTTGTTCGACCCCCAGAAAAGGTCAAAACTCACAGGCTGAGAAGCACTGCTTTGAAACGCAAGTCAGGTCCTTACATGGAGTTGCTCTAAACTTGAAAACAAGCCTTCTGAAGCAATGTATGATAATGTATGTGCACAGATTGGATTGTCCAGGATCTCTGCCTCTATATATGCTACTTATACAATGATGTAGCATACATGCAGATGGGGCTTCCAAAAGTAGTTGAAGTATTATGAAAAATGCAGAAGCTGAGAATAAATTTTTTAAACATTTATAGGCATTTGGTGTAGTTTACTAATACCAAAAAAAAAGGAAAAAATAAAGATGTATTTTCTTTTGCTTGACTTCTAATTTATTTTCCTAGTAATTCATTTTTATTGTCTAAGTAGCATAGTTATGGCAGCAAATTTTCAGAATAAAGTCTGGCTGTTTTCTGTGTGTAGTTTGATATATTCCTATTCTAGCCATACATAGGTTGCTAAGAATTATTATTTGAGTGGAAAAAGACCACAATCCTGTAGAAAGTCATTCAAATATCAACCAAGAAATATTGTGGTTAATGGTGTTTACAGATTAATAATGCTTATGTGTAGCATGCTTTCTTTTGGAGCCACTAACCAGCCCTAAATCATGACATGGAGGATTATTATTATGAATACTCAGCCTTATGCTTGTCCCACTAGCTCTTTTAATTTAAATTATCCTATTTCTCTTCATCTGCATTTTGCCTCAGGGCCTTTAACTTTTTAACTTTCTGTCCTACTCCATGTCTGTCTGACAGCTACCTGCCTGGCTGGCCCCTGGTGTCTCTCTCCCTCCTTCTCTTCTTTCTCTGTCTAGCCTAGATTCCTCCTTCTACTTGTTCTATCTGCCTTCCAGCCGTGCCTATTTCCTTACTGTTCAGCTATTGGCCATTCAACTTTTTATTAGCCTAATCAGGTGCCTTAAGCAGGCAAACAGCAAATTTTTACATCGTTAAACAAATGCAACATAAATAAGTATAACACATCTTTTCATAGTAAAAGTAAATTATTCTTCAACATAAAGAAATGGAATGCATCTTTATATAGTTAAAATAATAATCTACAACATTTCCCCTTTTTGTCTCAATAAAAGAGTTTTAACTTTAACATAGTAAAACTATATATAATAAGAACAGTTATCAAGTAAGAATTACATTTACAATATTCAGTCCATTTGTATTTGGCAAATTCAGAGAAAATACTTCAATTTTTATCCTCTTTTGGTGAGTCCAAATTTTGGACCTAATTTGCCTTCTATCATAAGTAAGGAAAACTGTAACTATAACTATCTAGTGTTCAATACTATCAAAGACCCCAGAAGTATATAATATTAATTACCTAAGTAAACAGGAAGTACCGTGCAAGTGACTCCCAAACCATAGAAATGATAGAATCATATGGCTGTCTTGATGATTGCTCTGTAATATTAGAACATCCAGCTTTGGTCTACACACTTAGAGTATTTGACAGACTTTTCCTCGAAAGAAGAATTTTGAAGGACTGTTCTGCCTTGTTTTGGTAAAGCTTGGCAGTTCTTTTCCTTTGTGTCCTGTTTGTCCAGTTTGGACAGCATACTATCAGCAGTCAAGACAAGGGCAGTTTCTTTCCCACATTGAAAGCAAACTCTGTATGGTGATCTTTGATACCAATCATTGTTATATGAAGTAGATTGGTGCTGGCAGGAGCAGAAGTGCCTCACTGTCTCAAAATTTTTCTTGCTTTATTTATGGATGCTTGTAGCCAAGATTTTCAGGAGGTCTCCTCAATTAAACCAGACCTCTGTTAACCTTGAAGGAGCCCACAGCCTTCATTTCCTATGGAAACAAAAGCATAACCTCTTCCCTAATCCAGTAAATTTTTAACTTCCATTTTAAAGTTAAGATATGCATAAGGTATCTAGGCTGGTTTAATTCAACACTCCATTTACAATCCAGCAGCTGTCTCTCAGCAACTGTTGCTCACTCATCAGCATTCAAAAAAATTCAAAATCAATACAGCGCCATATATGATCCAGACTCCATGCGTATATTTCCCATCTTTACGTGGCTTATTCTTTTTATATTACTTCATTCTCTTTAAAAACTTTATTATTTATATGTTCTCTTTTTCGATGTCCTGTCTATACCCATTTTCTTTTCCTTTTTAAGTCTATGTGCATCTTTAAGAAAGGTTTTTTTCCAACTAGACCTGTCTTTACTGCATGTCTCTAGCCTTTTCTGACTATATGACCCAAACGTTACTGCTAAGCAGCTTTGTATTAAGGGTTGGCTTCACCCTGAAAGCTGAACTTTTAGCCCCTTGAGCCTGGCCAAGAGCTGCCTTCAAGTGGGTACCCTGTACTGTGCCAGGTGTTTTTACGTATCTTTTTATTTTTACTTAACATGCTGGCTACTCAAGTGATCACGTATTCCAGAGCCTCTTAAAGGAGTCGTTTCCTTTTATATATATATATATATATATATATATATATATATATATATATATATATATTTCTCAGGCCCTTTGTAGAAATTTGAGATCAATATTGAAATGACACATATTATAGGCTCTCTTCTGGGCCACCAATCAGCTCCCCAAAACTGACACAGAGGCTTATTATTATGAATGCTCTACCTTATTTATGGTTGTCACGCTTGCCCTTATAACTTAAATTAACCAGTTTCTCCTCATCTACATTTTGACTTGGGGCTTTTTACCTTTCTTTCATTCTGTGTCCAACTGTGTGGCTGGCCTGCTGGGTCTGAACATCCCTGTCTCCTTTTTCCTTATTCTCTTCTCTTTTTTCTCTTTTAAGACTAGATTCCTCTTCCTACTTATTCTCTGCCTGACAGCCTCTCCTGTTGCTCTACTGTCTAGCAATTGGCTGTTCATCTTTTTATTAGACTAATCAGGCTCCTTAGGCAAGCAAACAACATATCTTTCATCATTTAATAAATGCAGCATAAACAAATGTAATACACCTTTACATAGTTAAAGCAACCTAAACATAACATTTTCACATAGTTGAAGTAATATTCCCCAACACTTAAGGACATGAGAAGTAGGGAGCAATTGGCTGCAGCCCAAGAACCAGTATGTAGGTGGACACTCCTGCACACTGCCTATTCTCTGCAGTGTTTTGTGTGAACAGAGGAGGTAAGCATTAGAATCCTGTCTAGAGCATGGTGTGAGCCTGATAATTTCTAAAGGCCACAATTTGTGTGCTTTTGACCCAGGTATAAATCTCCTGTGTCTCTTCCTACAACTTTATCCTCCTAGATTCTGTTCCTGTTGCAGATCTCGTGTCTCTCTCCCTTTGTTTCTGACCACAGATGCTGATCTTGTGTGTCCTTTTTTGAGTCCCTGACCTGGGCCTAATGTTGACTTCTCAAGGCCTGGCCTCTTGTGTGCTCCAGTCAGTATGTACCTGGTGTCTAAATAACAAGTGATTATTTCCTTTGTGCTACCCATTTTCCATTCTTGGGCCTGGTGGTAAACCTTCCTTATCAGTGACTATCTGTCAAGACTGGTAGTTAGGTTCTGGTTGGTTACCATGGTCCTGCTGGCTTGTCTTTATATTATTTCCCAGGTTCTGGAAGCCTCACCAATATTTGTCTATACTTTGTCTAACATGTTTTTCACATATACATGGAATGCACACTAACTCTTTCACATATACATGGAATGCACGCTAACTCTTTCACATATACATGGAATGCACACTAACTCTTTCACATATACATGGAATGCACACTAACTCTTTCACATATACATGGAATGCACACTAACTCTTTCACTTTCTGTCTGGGTTTTTTGAGTAGGCATCTCACGATCTGTTAACTTAAAGCCACTAATCAGTTTGTTGAAATTATATGTAATTTTCCCCAGATCACCTGAAATGATTATCAATTTATAATCATTGGTTGATGAGTAAATTCCACATGCTGTCAACCTCTGGTTAAAAGGTGACAACTGAAAATTTTGTAAAAGTCCAGTCATTTAAAATTAATGAGAGTAGCCAGTTTTATTTGTCTGATTAGATTTTGTATTCGTGTGTGTTAAATATTCATATGAAGAATATCTTTTCCCCCAAAAGTTGATGCTGTTAACATCTTTAATTTTCATATAGAAGTTATTTACTTTAAAATATAACTCAGCTATTTATTTGGAATTGCTGTTTTATGACATTTAGATATGATAGCAGAGAGGCCATAGGATAGCCAAAGCATTAATAACCAACCTCCTCAAATGAAAGTATAACGGATCTGAAATTTGCAGTCATACAGATGGAGCACTCAGTGATCGTCAGACTCACTCCAAGAGGCCAGCCCGTGGCCTGGGTTTCTAGTCAGTGGTCATTGTGTCGTGCTTACACCAACCATGCTTGGGACAGTTCGCATATGAATCTTTACTGTGATTTTCAAGTGACTTCAGTCAATCAAAGATATAGATTGTGACCAGATGAGTATATTTCAGGGCTAAGTACTCATAAGTCTTAAAATATTTTCTTGCTGCAAACAGCTAAATTTTGGTTCACTTCTAGACATTGTATCACATTGCCGTTAGGGATTTTGTTACATGGTACCTACCTGATAGGAATTTCTTTGTGAGTGGAGTTTAACATGCAAACATACTTATAAATTTACTAAAGTTTCTCAGTTTGGAGCCAGAAAGATAGCTTAATTTTTTACTACAAATATGGATTGAAATTCTTTCACTTACGTGCCCCCTCCCTGGAAATCTGAACACATTTGCAGCTGTCATATTTTGTCTTCTGTTTATCTGCTGCAGTACAGGAGTATGTCATAACTTATCTTCTCTTATCTTCCTTTCCCGTTCTTCTTTCTATGGGATGTACAATGGTCTTAGTGTACACCATTCTATAGATGCAAACTCATTGTCCAAGAGAGCTGAGTGTCTTGTATAGCACTGGACTAATTCAAGCAATTCCAAGTAATTAAAAAGCATGAGGCTCAGAACAATAATGCACTTGAGCTAATTACACTGAGTAGTCATTTTTAGCAACCATCAAATGAGAAAATACAATGAGAGCCTTTAGCTAATATTAACAGATTACACAACTCTAACATCAGGAATTGTGTTATATATGCCGTGTTTCTTGTTAGTCTTGCGTTTCTTTGTTTAATTTGAATACTGTAAATTACACCAGCCTAGAATCTACATTGTTCAGAATCTGCCTTGGTTTTTAGGACAGGGGTGTAAAGCTTGATGGATCATTCTGAAGGCTTCTTTGACACTTGTTTGTTCTGCTGCTGTTAAGTTGCATTGTTTTGCAGTTGTGATTATTCAACAATAATGGCAAGTTTACATTTTGAAGAAGTAAAATTGGCAAATAGGAAGAAAATCTTTATCAGTTTATATTTAAAATTTAATTTTATTCTTTTAATATTGAAACAGTTCTTTGGTATGAACTTTTATATGTGAAAGTTTCTGATAGTATTACTTCATATAGAACTAATATCCTATACACTAAATCCTATAAGTAAATCTTGTGTAGACTGTAAGTGGATCATGATACAGAGACAACCCTTGTGCTTCTGGGTGAGCTCCATGCCCCTTGTCGGCCAGTCGCTCCTTTCTAGAGCTTGGCTTCTCTGTGATACACAGCCAGGGCTACAAGCTCTTGTAGCTTCTGTGCTGTATACTGCTGCTGTGGACCATATGGCTCTGCCCTTCCTGGCTTGCTGAAGCAGAAGCTCAAGTTATATCATGTGCCATGTGTTGCTGTTAGTGCTCAGATAGAGCCAAAATGATGGAGCCATATAGTAGCTTGTATTTACTTCATGGGTCCTAACTTATAGTTTGCTAAGTTTCATATGTTAATGCTGCTCCTAGGGTTTATATGTGTTGGGAGTGTTGTTCTTTTGAGGTAGGTTCTTGCTGTGTATTCCAGACTGGTCTTGAGCTTACTAGCTTTTTTCCTCTGCCTCTGAAGCAAAACAATTTTTATATAATTGTTAAGAGTTAATTTTGTTTGGATGTTAATTTCAATAATATATGCATATGTATAAATGTCTTTCTACTTTTATTTTTTCAATATCAAGAGTTTTAAATTTGAAAGACAATCAGGACATAAATGGTACAGATGTGATGTGAAGATCCATGGTTTTAGGTTTTGCAGTCTATGTATGTATGCTCTCAGCATTTTAGCATAGACTACCATTTTCTTAAGTTTAAAAAAATATTACATCTTCTTTCCCTATTAACTTAGAAAACTAAACTTTTATAGATATCCATTAAAGAAATGAGTAGCTTCTAAGTCTGAAATCGTATATTTTAAAATTATATTTCTGGTGGGTTTTTGTTTGTTTGCCTAGTTGATACTGTGTTTCTAAGCACATGCTCGCCCAGGGCTCCACTGAGAAACATCCTGGTCCTCTGATGTCGTCTGATGATGAACATCTGAAACAGCAGCAGACACTTCCTGGTCTGACACACACAGGAAAGTACTTAAGCAGAGGAGCTGGGTCTCCTAGCGCATTGTGGTTTTGAGGTCCAACACTGTGCCTTTCTGTTAATAATATCGCCTTTTGATGCCATTTTAACTTGAACTTCTTACTGTTTCTGTAGGCAGTAAGGAAAAGCCATGTCACTTCCATTGTCAGGGAACATGACCATTAATACATTTTTTAGTGTTATATACAGGCAAATTTGTATTGTTTAACAAATCATTTCACATCTTCGTCCTTTTTAAAAGCTAAGATTAAGTTTCTTGAACTAACCAAATCAAATAAACTGTTGGATAAATGTGTATAAGCTCAAATGGTATCGTATATTTTCTATCACGACAGTTCATTAGAAAGTGTTATCTCTGCTTTCAAGTGTTGCTATAAGGACCACTTTCCTGTTTTTGCAGGTACTGTAATAGGTGTTGTCATTTATACTGGAAAAGAAACTCGAAGTGTAATGAACACATCCAATCCAAAAAATAAGGTAGGCTAGACTAAGGAGTGCCTGCTTTCATCAACTTGCTTTTCCTTCCAGTAAGAAAGTCTATGTAGTCCCGAACAGCTCATTTATGTAGCTTAATATTTAATATGAAAATTAGACTCAGTTGCTGGTGGTGGTAAGGAGTCCCTGTGTTTGTGCACATTCTCGTCAAACGTCCTCTGCCTCATCCTAGTTTGATGTGCCTTATATTGGACAGTTCATTCTTGGTTTCTCATTTCAAGTGTATTTTGTAGTTTGTGTTCTTTATCTTGATGGTTTATTTTTAAAATACTCTGTTAATCTTTAATATTATTTCTCTTGATAATATTAGTTGTTATAATTGGGTTGTTTGTTTCATTTCAGAAGCATATTGAGAACCTAAAGACTTCTGGTCACCCTCCTAAAATTATCACTCATGCAATCAATATACAAGTTAAATCATGACTAAAATCAGTGTGAATTCTAATATTTACTGTGTGGCTGATTCATTGTTTACAATGAACTCAGTGTGTTCGATAGTACAGTTGAGTGAGAAACTCCTTCTTACTGTTCAGTTTATGTTTATTTGAAATATATATAACATGTATTTAAATAAAACTAACAGTTTTCACTTATCCTTGCCTTATTCTGTAGGTTTGTAATAGTGAAAGTTGTTTTTCGCTAGAAAATTTTCTACTAAGCAGTAGAAATGAAATATACCCTTAAAAATATGTGTACATGTCTGGTATGATATAATCCACTTCTTCAGTTCAGAACTATTTTTAAAATAGTCCTTCAAAAAAAATGGAAACAAACCAAATGTAGTGCCTTATGTCATTAAGTCCACTATTTAGGAAGTTGAGGCAGGCAGAAGATCCTAAGTTTAAAGCCATCCTGGGCTGCATAGTGGGTTTTATAATAAAGATCCTGTCTCAAAACCAAATCAACACAAACAAAACAGGAAAACATCATCAGCCCCAGTGCATGGCCCATCTCCACTACAGCAGATTTACCCCTGTGCATGCTGATGTCAGTGGGGCCTGCCAGAGACTCTCCTCCAGCACTACTGATCAGTTATGAGTCTCCAAGTGTTTGTGTGTGACTCTAAAGATGATAGATAGATAGATAGATAGATAGATAGATAGATAGATATGAAGCAAGGAAAGGAGGAAAGAGACAGTAGTAACCCGATAGGTACATGAATGATGAAAGTTTGTATATATGATAGAATTTGCCAAGTGTTCAATGTTAGTTTCACCAGATTAAAATTCAATGATATTGTGTGTATGCATATGCATGTGTATGTATATACTACTGTTCCCTTTAGGTTTATTAGCAATTCTATTCTGGCTATCAAATATGCCTTAGTCACTACTTCACCAATAGAACTAAAGTTGTGTTAAGTTTATTTAGTATTTCAATTCAGTAAGCTAGTTATAGAATGATGCTCATGTTTATACATGTTTTCAAACCTGTTCTGTTTCCTCACAAGAACAGGTAGAGTACTACAATGTATATGCAACTTCAAGAGCTTTTTTGTGTTTTTACTTTTGAGTGTATGGGGATGTTGAGAAGAAATTTAATTTTAAACAGTAAATTTAACATCTTAAAAGCTACCTTTTAATCAAAGTTTTAAATTCCACGTTATTCTTCAGCTGAACTTACATCCTATTGTTTTTTATTGTCTACAATTTATCAACTTTATTCTTTACATATTTCATGGTCTCTTTGTGGTTCAGATAAGTTATGATCATGGTTAAGGGTTCTGTCACTTGAGGTTTGTCAACCGAGGACGAATCTAGGTTTTGCCATGGACCAGGTTCGAAACTTTTAGTAAATGGCTTAATTCTGCATCTTAATTTTCACATTTGTAACATAGAGATGGTGCCCACATGTGGTTGTGAGTTATCCCCTGCACATATTATTGTTAATAAAGAAATTGATTTCTAACAAGTGCTCAGTAGATACTGCATTGCTCTTATTGTTGTTGTTGTTATTAGGGTCTTGCTGTGTAGCTTTGACTGGCCTGGAACTTGCTATGTAGACCAGACTGGCCTTAAACCCATGGGGATCAGCTGCTCATCTAGAGTGCTGGGTTAAAGGTGTGCATCACCACACTCAGCCATGTTCCATTTCCTAATGCTGTTCTGTGACGTGAAATATTTTCAGTCTCAGTCCTCATTTCCAATTTAAAGTTACTTGCTGATTCATATGAAGACATCATATGTGGAACTAAAGAGAGGGCCCAGTTCAATTCTCAGCTCCTACAATCACTGTAACTCCAGTCCCAGGGCATCTGATACCCGCTCTGGCCTCTTTGGGTACAGTAGTTTACCTCGAACTGAAGTTAAAAATGGTTATCAGCTACCATGTGGATGCTGGGAAACAAACCCGAGTCCTCTGAAAGAACATCAAGTGTTTTCAACCAGTGATGTTAGCCTTCTCTGCAGCACCTTTGAAATCGTGTTTCCTTGGTGTTAGGATATTACTAGAGAGTTCCAGGGTCCCATCAGAACCTTTGCAGGCTGCTATAAAGGCGCTCTTCAGCCAGTCCCACCCTGGGTCTTCTTCTGTACTCAGGTCTCTCCCCTTTTAGCCGCACTCACGGCAGTGACGGTTGAGGTCTGCAGAACACTTAGTACACTGTGGATAGTTTTTAGGGGAGGGGGAGGGAAATGGGAGGCGGTGGCAGGGAGGAGGCAGAAATCCTTAATAAATAAATAAATTTAAAAAATAAAAAAAAGGTGTGCACTAAAAAAAAGAATCTCTTTTTAAAATCATTTATCTTAAAACTTTTAAATTTTCTCGATCAAGTCCCCCTCCCTCATCTGCTCGAAGAGCAATCAGGGTTCCCTGACCTGTGGGAAGCCCAAGGACTGCCCACCTCTATCCAGGTCTCGTAAGGTGAGCATCCAAACTGCCTAGGCTCCCACAAAGCCAGTACGTGCAGTAGGATCAAAAACCCTCTGCAATTGTTCTTGAATTCTCCGTATTCCTCATTGTCCGCTATGTTCAGCTAGTCCGGATTTATCCCATCGGGGGAGGGGGAGGGAAATGGGAAGCGGTTGTGGGGATGAGGCAGAAATCCTTAATAAATAAATAAATTTAAAAAATAAAAAAATAAAACTTTAATTAATTAAAGGGCTTAATTAAAATCCTTAAGTTAGAGTCAGAGACCTGACTCAAAAAGCATGTTTTTCTTTTTTTCATTTAAGGGTGTGGGAGAAATTGCAGCTAAAAGAATACAATTATGGCTTTACATATATCTGCAAAATAAATATTTGGCTATCAAAAAAAAAACTTTTAAATTTTCTAAAATCTAATCCTATAAATGATTTTATGTTTTTCCCCAAAATTTGTCCCTTCTGTGCACCTACTTCTACCTCTGCTATTTCACTGACATCTGCATCTTCAAGTCTGAGTTTGCATATCCACACAGTGGGTCCCTAAAGAAGGTCACATGCCAGTGGGGATCACTGCTGGGGACCCTGAGTGCTCAGGAGGGCTTTCTTTCTGCAGCTGAGTCTACGAACAGGGAGGCTTCTCTAGGGAGTATTTCTCAGGCTTCATATTCAAATACCTATTTGTAAATTGGGAGTTAAGCCAGGAGAGGAATAAATTAGATGTGTTTCTATATGCAGTAAAGTCTTTCCAAGTGCTCAGTACTAGTTTTATAAGAGTAAAATTCCAGAAAGGACTTGAGCCAGGCTACAGTGTACAAAACAGCTAAGATTTCTTCAGGGAAATTACTGGGTTTGATGTATGTTAAATGAAAAAGAACATGTAACATTTGATTGTAATTACAGAACAGAAGACAGAAAGAATGTTTGCTGTGTGCATGAGATTTTCTGAAAGCTTTATTGTTGCTACAAATGTTCCCCATCCCACTGGTCCCCCTGGACTGGGTTTTCTCCACCCACCTGTTCCTGAAGCTACTTATAAAATAACCACTTTGAGGCTTAATATTTATTATATACTCTTCGGCCTATTAGCTTAGGCTTCTTATTAACTCTTACATCTTAAATTAACTTATTTCTATTATTTTTTATTTTACCACAAGACTTGTGGTTTGTTAGCACACATCTTTCTTCTTGGGCTGCCGTCTTCCTGCATTCAGTTTAGTTTTTTTCTGCCCCACCATAAGTGAAAGCAGCATATTTATTAACCAATGGTAATAAAACATATTTATAGCATACAGAGGGACATCCCACATCACTGTATTCCAGTGTTTTGTAGCTTTTATATTTCATAGATTAGTGCAAGCTAAACTAAACATTGCAGAGGAAAATCAGGTTATTTTCCTATTTTGCTGGGTTTCATCCAGCAAACAAATGTATCTTGAACTCTCATTTCTGACAGTGATTCTAAGCATAGGACCTTGATTAAAAGAGTGATTAGCCAAGATTCAGCTGTGGAGCTCATTGCTAACAGAATAGTTGTTACTTGAAATATGCATAATTCTGAATAAGTGAGTAAGTGCTTACCAGTCAAGATGAGCTAACCCATGCCAGATGATTTACTCTACAAACCATGGTGACCTCTGTAGTAGGCCCACACATATTTTGTGTCTAACTCCATCTAGCTCGCTCATCATGGTGCCTCAAGGATAAAGACTGGCATCTCATTTACCGTCTCTTAATGACTTTTACCAATGAATGACATAGGACTAATTTCTTTGGCCAAAGCAATTCAGTGATCTTATGTGAGTTCAAGGTATCAGGAAAGTACAGTCCTGTCCTATGATCCAGTGGGAGAGGATATCTATTGAGTAGTCTTAGTACACTTAGAGTTGTTTGTGGATATTTTCTTGGAGTCCTGCGACTGGTGAAAAAAAAAAAACTGGAGTCCCAAAGAATGTTTGTTTCAAAAGTTTAACAGAAGAAGGAAATAATGAAGGAAAAAGAAAATTGAGTGAAGAGAACATTTTATTCAGTGGGACTTAGCAATAAGCATTGGTGAAGATTGCAGGATTCACTGAGATAAAAAAGAAAAAGGAGGGGGGAAGTGGTTAGTAGACTTAAAAG